ACACATGTGCTTAAGGCCCACATGGTTCAGGCCGATGCTCTAATTCTCGGTCTATTATTTTTCTAACTATACTTGATACTGAAATGTCAAAAGCTGCCGTTTCTGCACACCTGAAGCCACCATCTGCTCCGTGACCCGGGAAAGGGACACTTTTAGTCCTAAGCAGCCCAACAGTTCCCTTCCTTTTATGTCTCTATATTTGTAACAATATTCATGTACTTGTAATATTTGCAACTCTGGGGGTTGCTGTACAGAATCGCTTCTAATTTCCCTATAAAGATCTCCTTGGAACAGTAACTGACTTCATTTATTCATGTTTGTTTATTAGGTTATTGTTTGCAACATAGAGTCATTGTTTAGATGGGGATTTTCTTATCTCTTCTGCATGAAACTTAGCCTAACATAATTTCAAACACATTGCTGAAATTTGGGGGGTTGAATAACATGATTGACATTGAGGTTTGATGTGACTGTTTAGCAACATGGTCCCCAATAAAAGTAGGACCTGAGCAAGGATGTTGGAGAAGGAAACCAACAGAGCTGCCGAGTGGCAGCTTTTCCTTTAATTAACAAGCTGTTTTCACTGAAATTTTAAGCCTCCAGCTTTAGAATTATTGAGGCACGAAATCTTTACATCAAATATACAGAAGTGGGTGACAGAGTTGATGCAAATAAAAAAATGTGGAGTGGCAGGATAAAACATAGTGATCTTTTAGAATTTACATCGATGCTGAAGCTAACGGCCAGCCACTTAAAAATTACTTTAGAGAAGTGCTGAAAACTGTACGCACACATTCCTAGTATGTCTGTTAGCCTTGTACACACTGCGCTATGGAGCACACGCGATAGACACTGTGTCTTTAAAATGTATTTTCCTGTGCTTATAGCCAAGGAGTGCTTGACAAGGAACAACGCGGCTCTAACGTTTGATGCCGCTTTCGCACACTATGGCATCCCAGGAGCCCTGTCATCAACGGGGCAGGTGTCGGAAGATTCTAAATCCTAGTGTCAAAGTCTTTCGCTTTTTGGGAAATATTCTAAAAACACGGATCCAGTGTTTTAAAATAAAAGATAATTTGAAATAAGGACATGAGGAAAAGCATTCTCACCTAAAATCAATTAACATAAAACCAACCTCCCTCTTGCACTTTATCTGTAAAAAAACTAAAAATGTTTCAGATTCGACTCAGGATAAGAGAAATAAAAGCAATCTTTTCGATGTGAAATCACTCGATTAGCTCTGCACACCCAGAATCTAAGACTGAATTGCCGTGCTGGCCCGTCCTCTCTGCCCCGGGAGAAGCCACTCAGGACCCGGGCAATGAAAGGAGTGGGTCATCCGGACCGGAAACAGGCCTACAATTAGCTTGACGATGCATAGTTTAACTTTTCTGACCTTGCTTTGTTAAATAAACTTAAGTTTAATGTCTGCATATCTCAATTTGTTCCCTTAAAATTAGAAAAATGTACTGAAGATCATAATTCTTAATACAATCACTTTATTTCTCAGTTTTTAAAGCTTCAGAAAAGCATTTTCACGGTGCTATAATGTAGGCACATGCACCTGAATGAAAAGCTAGCCCAAGCCAGTTTGGCTCAGTGGATAGAGCATCGGCCTGTGAACTGAAGGGTCCTGGGTTTGATTCCAGTCAAGGGCAAGTACCTTGTTGCAGGCTCCTCTCTGGCCCGGGCCCTGGTTGGGGTGCGTGCAGGAGGCAACCAATCGACCTGTCTCTCTCACATCGATGTTTCTCTGTCTTTCCCTCTCTCTTAAAATCAATAGAAAAATATCGTCAGGTGAGAAAAGAAAAAAAAAAAGCTAGTGGTCAGGCTGGGTTCATGTGCCAGGTGCTAGGACGACCCCAGTGCCTGCCCCTCACTGCAGGCTTTGTCTGCCTTGTGCGCCTGGTGACACAGTGAGTAAAAGCCTCCCACCGCATGGAGCATCTGTCTGCCTCTACTCTCCCGACTGGACATGAAGTGCACAAGGCAGGGCCCTGCTGACCTGGAGGCACCAACTGTGACTGCACACCGAGGGCACTTGGCATATCTATGAATGAACACTCACATGACAAGAAAGGTCCAAGAAGCCTGGCACCATCCCAATAAGAATTAACAGCTGATTAAAACATCCTAAAAAGCGGATTTCGTGAGCAAGGTGCTCCGGGAATTGGACACTACCTAGTAAGACCGAAAGCTGAGACGGGACCGTGCCCACACTCAGCATCCCCTCTCCTGGCCTCGGGGTCTGCTTCCAAAGTGAGAATTCGGGTGTCCGGCCAGAGAAAAAGGACATGGAGAGAAACAACAGCCTCAGGAAAGAGTACAGACTTCATCACGAGGCCCGCAGACCTCGTCTGCTCAGACCTGGCTGTGGTGTGGCTTTTGGATAACGTCATTAGGCACCTTCCCACGGCCAGTGAGCTCTGCAGAGGGGCTGGCCTTCCCGCCTCGCAAGGCTTCCGCGGCGGGAACCTGTCCCAGCGCACGGAGCTGCCGGAGGCCAGCCCGCGTGGGGATGGCGGGAAACCACAGCACGACATCGCTCCAGTGCCGCCCATGTTCTCCTCGCCTAGAACTTAAGTCTCCAAGTACATTTTCCTCGTCTCTGGGCAGATTCACATTCCGCAGGCTTTACCATATGCCTGTAGTATGTGGATGTGCAAATGTTTATTTTTATTGTGCAATATTTTGTGACAACAGTGTTGGTCCCACACACTGTCAAAGCACAGAGCGTCTCTACTGTTCAGTCCGCGCTGGGCCTGCTACTAGACCAGCGGTTCTCAACCTGTGGGTCGCGACCCCTTTGGCAGTCGAACGACCCTTTCACAGGGGTCGCCTAAGACCATCCTGCATATCAGATATTTACATTACAATTCATAACAGTAGCAACATTACAGTTATGAAGTAGCAACAAAAATAATTTTATGGTTGGGTCACAACATGAGGAACTGTATTTAAAGGGCCAGAAGGTTGAGAACCACTGTACTAGACGGACTTCATCAGGGACACTGGTGAGAGCAACGCTAGGCACAAACCGAAGCCTCTCTCAGCAGGAGGAGACTCCTAAACTGCACACACCAGCAGTGACGTGACAGCAGACACAGTCTGAGGTCCTTCCTTTCAAGATCCTTCGGTCTTTCTTGAATTAACGTCTCACTCAGGAAAGGGGCTTTCTCACCCACAACGAGCATCTAACCATCCCCTCCCCCGAGCTGCAGCCTCTCCGTCCTCACTGACCCCCGGAGCCAGAAGTGGTTTGTAAATTCTCAAAATGTCTATGGCACAGGAAGAGATAATGTACATGGAAATATTTAGAAAAAAGAGGAAAGTGATATGCAATTTTAAGTACAATGCATTATAATCGGAAAATGAGGTTAACATTTCAGTTTGCTTTTTTCTTGTATTTATGTAGAAAGTGGGTGTATGCAACTTATAAGTTAAAACTACAATAAATACCTCAACCTTTCTTTATAATTCAGAAATCAGCAAGGTGGAATTTTTAAACATAGTCTATCAGTAGTCTTTATTTTTAATCAATTATTGGTCTTAATTATTATCTTAAGGTTTTAAAGATTTCAGCCTCTGAAATTTTCCCCTCTGAGCCAACATACAAATGATTTTGGAAAGTTTTAATTTGAATTCTACCTGTTAATGTGAGAGTGTTACTGATCCAAAAATACTTTTCTTATGATTAAAACAAACAAAAACCAGGGTCGATTATGGGGAAACACCCTCCATGTTGGCTGCCTTCTGAGACTCAAAGCCAATAACACAGACATCAGCAGGAAGGAGCGGCACCCTCCGCCCCGCAGTTCTGCACAGCCCCCCGCGCGACTTCTCATTCATCTGGGTTGTCTACAGAGAAGGTACCAGCGAACATCTACCCTTTCTTCCTCTGGAAAGGAAAATGCTGGTTAGACCAGAGCTCGGTATGAATTCTACAAGCATCTGCTGCAACCAGCTCTTCCGACCTCCAGCCCATCCGCGTGAACCGGCGAGTGGATGATGAGCGCAGCCTCCTTTCGGGCGCTGACGAGGTTGCCAGGTCCCAGTTACCTTCTCCCACTCCCTGTACTGAGCTGTGCTCTCCAATCCACCCTCTTACAAAAATTAGCGTGTTAATTAAGCCTTCCTGGTGAGTAATTGCATGTTAAGGTTTTTTTTACAAAGATCTTTTGAGTCCTTATATGAATGTAAAATAAAGGTTACTACAGTGCCATTCTTTTTTTTTTTAATGGCACAGAATTAATTTCTTTAGAAGGAAAACAAAGACTCTACGGGCATAAGAACATAAAGGCTAAAAAATCCCCTTACATACACGTTATAATTTTTGTTTTTTATGTATCATATGGAAACCAACACTTAGTTTCAGGATTCTCAGCAGTCTTTTGCAGGATATTAAGTCTTCGTCTCACCGACTCTAGCGTAGGCACACACCAGTCATCTAAGAGTAGTTCCCAGAGTCTCATGCACCAGCATTCCTACCACTTCTCTGCTGATGCCGACAGGGGGTGGGAGCAGGGCTGACATACATCTAAGGCGTGCCCCGAGCGTAATGCTTATATTCTCAGGCAGGCAGTTTTGAAATAAGATGTTTCAGATACAACAAACTTGCTGAAGGCCAAACTTGCCATTTACTCCATGACTGCTCATAGTTCCCACGTAAATGAGGAGGGACTTGTTTTAACTGTGCTAAGTGCACATGGACTCGGTATTTGAACGGTCCCCATGGGGAGGAGTTTGGACCCGTAACACAACCTCGTGCTTGTAGGTGCTTGTTCACAGCAGCGGTTTCATCGACAGAGATCCAATTCTATGATACACATCAACTTTGCTCATTTTGTTACTAATGCAATTATAAAGAAACCCCTTTTATGGATAAATTATTGAAGAAAAAGTCTTATAAAACAAATAAATAAGCAAGCATTAAAGTAGAATTACTTAATTATCCAAAAACCACCAAAAAAATAAAAAACAAAAAAATCAGAGCCACTTACAGGGCTTGATGGAGTCTTGGGCCAGCCCGGGCTGCTAATGCTATCGCTCTCATCTCCATGAAATGAGGAGATGCTAGCAGAGCTGGGGGACATTGGGGAGGGGACTGGCAGGTTGCCGGGGGTGGGGGGCTGAGAAATACCCTGAGAGCTGTAGCTATCCTGTGGTAGAGGAATAAAAAAAAAAAAAAGACAAAGGTAGGGCAAACTTTATTTAAAATAACAAAAAGTACATCCAGTTTAACAGACGAACTTTCATATTTATATAAAGACGTACAAACAGAGACACAAAAACACACACATAGACGGTATTAAAACAACATTCTTAATTAGTACAATTCGGTGAGTTTGCTGATGCTGGATACGGCCACTAAGCCACCATGCTCACTTCAAGCTCACAAGGAATGCTAAGCATGGGTTACCCCTTATGAAAGAAAGGAAAAAAAAAAGCTGTTCACCTTATTTATCAAATAAGGCAGGAAAGCAAAATATTAAATATGTTGCTGTTGCTGAGGCGGCCAAAACAGGAAGCTATAAACTGAAGGCAGAGAAAATGGCTGCAAGAATCAAAACCAGGCAAGATCCCTTCCTTCTCCCCACCCCAGAGCACTTCTCTTAGGGGTCCTGTCCCGCCACCCCCTCCCACAGCCGTGAGTTAATGCCGTAAGAACTAGTAACTTTCAGATCCACGCCATGACGGGGTGGGGGAAGAAAGGCTACAGACATGTGCACAAGTGAAGGCATGCAGAGAGAAGACCAGACGGGAAGCAGCGTGGGCCAGCACCAGCGACGCAAGGACGTGCAGCGTTAGCAGGCAGCCCACCCGTGCAGAGAGGAAGTACCTTCGCCTTGCTCTCGGGCTGCGGAGTGCCTTCTTCCTTCCCGTCGGCTTTGAGAGGCAGGGGCAGCTTGGATTCACCAGGAGACATCATATCTGCAAGACCCATAGATGCTAATCGAAAACAGGAGAAAGAGTTTAGGATTATACATATGAATCCTCAGGTGGAGCGCCCGCTAACACAAGTTACTGAGCGATGCACGGGGCACCGGAACGTCCCTTGAAGGAAGGAAAGGAAAAGGAAATCGTAACTCAGAGCAAACTAATTTCTGAAGTTGACATAGCATGACATTCTGGCAATCCTTTATTTAAAAAAAAGAAGCAATCATTTACTCAAGATCCAAACCACTGAAAGTCAACTTCTAGCAATATTATTCCATAAGCCCAGTCTTTAACTTGCTCATCAGGTGTGGAAAGCAAATGCTGGTTGTGTATATTTTTTACCTGGTGACTAGAGGATTTAGTGCTTCCTTCATTTCCTAAATTCACAGAATCTGTAAGTCTGCAAAGTCATCTGACATATTATAGTGTTTCATTCGAAAGGCTTATTTATCTATTGCATGTGGCCTAGTCTATAATAATGGAACACAATTGTAACAGATGACTTCAAAGACAATGATCAAAAGTAAGTTTTGAAGGAAAGAATCTAGTTATTTGGCACGGGCTGGTTTCCTTCCGGCCTGGTGCGCTGCGTACATCTGTCAGTCCTGGGCAAAGCTCAGACACCCAGGGCAAACACCCACGCAGCTCCTGGTCAACCTGATGATCCCAGGCAAAACTCCTCTCTTCCTCGGCTCAGAAATTCAATCAAATTCATCTACGCTTTAGAATGAAAGGGTTACCAAAGAACAACTGACTTATACACATTTATTGCAAATACGAATAGACATTTTCAAGTGAAAATAGTTTCTTTTTGAAGGAAGAGTGAGGCCACAGTGGGAATGAGTGTAGGTACCCGGGAGTGACAGCTGAGCTCCTGCAGGACCCCACTGTGAGACCATCTGCACAGCACGGGCTGCAGGTGCGACACCAGACACGTGCGAGGAGTCGGAGAGGAGAGGTGGAGGCGGAGAAGGAAGAGGGAGAGCATTGTGAGCCTTATAAGCGAGCTGAGACCAGAAAACATTCCTATTTCAAAGCAAGTTAATCCTGAGGTTTTCTGGACAGGACCCACTTTCCATCCTGCGAGTGGGTGTGCACGCGGAGCACGATGTGCCAAACAACACAAAGAGAAAGGGAGCTTCAGAAAAGCTCCACAGATTGCCCACTACAAAACGATTACTGCACATATTCGTGTATTACTATGTTTTAGAAAATAATTAGTTTTAATTACAGCAGAGAGAGGAGAGCAGGGCTCTGGTGAATTAGCTGGCAAGCTCTGTGGAGCTGATTTGCTAATATCGTTAGCATCACTGCAGGTTGGGACCAGAGGTCCTGCCAAAACAGCCCACCCTGCCACGTGCCGCCAGCTCCCACGGGTGCGCTCCATGGGCGCGCCGCTCCCGCTCCCATTGCTGGCTTTTCACAGCCCATGTGCAGCCCCGTCAGCCCTTGAAGTCATCATCACACACACAAATCATAATTGGGATGTTTTTCTTTTTTCTTTTTCAAATTACTTTCAATACTTAGACTTTAAGAACTGGAACAAAAAGCTTTTTCAAGTGATGCAGCTGCAGAGAAAAATCTATTGGGATCAGCTAAAAATGCTGTTATTTTTGTGAATGTGTGAAACCTCAAAACAGCAGCTGAGAGATATTACACGAAGTCCGCCTTGCTGCTTCGGGTGGTTTTACCTCTGGGGTCTAGCAAGATAGGAACTGGTAAATCTGTACATTGTGAAATAGAAGGGGGGAAGCAGGACGAGTGTGGAGAGAGGGGCTTATTTATGCAAGTCCACCCGTCCTCGTAGGCTATTCACAGAGTGGGCTCCAAGGAGCGGCAGCACGCAATTCCAGAGAAAGTGGCCAAGTCACGGACACGCGGCTTCTCCAATGGCTACCACAGTTTTGTCAGCATTTGTAACACATGATGTTCTTCATGCATTAAATGTGTCAATGTTCACAAAAGCAATGTGGAAGCGTAAGGAACTAGGTCATTATGTATTATGACAGTTAATGATAATAACTTACACTGATTTAAAAATCAGACTTAGATGAATAGAAGCATATATATTGACTTGAAATTCTCCAAACTTCTTCATTTAAAACAGATAAAATATTATATATTTTAAAATGGGCATTTGGGTTATACACATATGAAAACTGTCAAAGATTGCATTGCTTTATTATTTTGAGAGACACATAAGGACGTAGAGTAATAGCTCTGTTTAGTGCTCCTGCCTTACAATGTAAATGTTATCCTTCCAAAGGGACCACCAGGTCTTTCTTTACGGTGGCTTTCCCCATCCTTTTGTTGAAATGCTTATTTTGCCTTCTTAGCAGAATTCTCAGGGAATCGTGCACAAAGCCCCACCCACTCTCCCAGAGCAAAGGGGTCCAGGGCACCATTTCTTCCCCTTTCCCAGAAGAGAGAGACCACCGCCATAGGGACGTGTTAAATCAGGCCCTGCGCCCCACCCCTCCCTCCCCCAACCCAGCAGGTGAAGCTCAGACACGAAAGGGCAGCAGAGGACCCGGTGCAGATGCAGCGTCTGCAGACACTGCACGCGCTCCCCTCCGGCTTCACCAGAGAAAGAAGAGCCAGAATGACTCTGAGAGTCAGTGCGGGCCAAGGCCCCAAGGCAGCTGTCTCACCCTGGACTTGATATATTCAAAAGGACACAGAGAGCACATCGTGTGAGCAAAAGGGGACTTCAACGCTCATGCCTCCTCTCCCACTTGTTTCTCAGTCTCCTTCCGAGGCTGCAGATCATTCCCAGAGGATGGCAAAATAGGGCCAGAAACGCACGTGCACACACCTGTAATATTTGTGACTGTGTTTATATGTGGCAACTATATAAAGAACACTGTTGACACAACACACACAGTGTACGAGGAAAGCACACTCCTCTATCTAGCTCAGCATGGCCTGGGTGCCCCCTGAGACCCCCCTATGCTGACGCACCTCCACGTGGGCCAAACAGGAGACAGCAGGACCCACCATGTCCACCACAGCCCTCTCCCACCCGAGCCGGCCCACGGGAACATCAACCTGAGCAAACCCAGCATGTGAGCCAGCATCACTCTCCCAGGAAATCAGCCCATCACCCATACCCACCGCCCCTGCCCATTGCCCCTGCCTGGCCAATCTCTAGAAAAGCTGAGTGAGCACCTTCAGACCTAATGCTCCGCAGGAGCTCACTGCCCTGGGCCTGCCGTCCACTCCCCCGGAGCCAGCCCCACAGTCCTGCAGACATGCGTGGGCCCTCACCACATGCCAGCAAACGCTGAATCGTCACTATTCCTCGGATGTGTGGCATTATTACTTTCTATCAGGGTAGCATTTGACTTAATAAAGCTGAAATAAAATCACATAAATGTGTAAAAAATTTTGATGAATGTTTAAATTATTAAAAATTCAATATTTCAAAATGCACAATGCAATAAAAAAATATATACTACTAGTCCGTACGAAAGCCTGTGAGGATAAATGGCCTTTCACGGAACAGATTACCTATGTATGAAATAACAAATAACTGAATTATCTGAATAGTGTAAAAAACCCTCTCTGTGAATCTCCGTGAAATTGGTTATTCCTTAGGAATACATAAATCTTCTCAGGCAGGGCACGGTGCCATCTGTTTGTTGTTGGTTATTTTTGTGGCCCTGGAGTCCAAAGAAAAAGGGAAAAATGAGTATTGCTAATAGTAGGTGAGAATTTATTGTGTAGATTCAATGCTCTGAGGTAATTTTATTTCAGCAAGCCAGACAAAACCCATAATGCCACAACCCAGAGTCCTTATTACCTGGGACAGTGGGGAAGCTTCTAGCTAACAGGCTGTTCAGAGCTTTGCCCTTGTCACCGCAGATGTGAAAATACCACCTCAGGGATGAAGGTGGCCTGGCCTCCCTCACCCCAGGAAGGCCTCTTCTGTTTATGTAAAAACTTTCATTTTCACCAGCAGTTCCTACTGCTTCCTATTCTGAACCTTTCAAAGGAGAGCAATCAGAAGAAGGCTGTACCCATCCGGCCCTAGACCCCAGGACTGGCTCCGGCAGGAGGGCAGGATGTGAGCCCAGCGCTACGTTCGCCTGCCAGAGAAGCAACAGCGCTGGGCGCCGTCAGAGACGAGCGGTGGGAAGGCAGCGCAGGCAGAGGCATGGAAGTGGTCCTGGGGCACCACCTCTGGCTCCACAGCGCTCTCCTCACACACCGGGGAGCAGGGCCCTGACCGCCACTTGACCGCCACTCCAGCCTCATTCGCTCCCGGAGGCTCCCACCCACAGGGCGGCTCTCGCTCCCGCAGGTGGGAGAAGCAACAGGTCAGGTGAGCTACACGGCGTTTTCTCAGCTCGAGACCAGCACTCGGCTCCTGGGTAAGCAGGAGGCTTGCAGAGGTGGCTCAGGGCCTGAGGGTCTGAGAACAGGGATATCTACCCAGGTTTGGGCATTCTTGCTATTTTCGCAATCCGCTTACTGCACTAATCAGGTGGGATTTGGTAAGAAAGCCGTTGAGGTCATAAAGTGGGTTGAAAGATGTAAACATACTGAAAATTTAAAACAGTTCTTTAGCAAAGTATCTAATTTCTCCACAATCTGCAAAGAGCACTCTCCCATGTAGACATTTAAGGTGAGTTTCCCTAAAGGATAAAGGGACCACACTCTGCCCTCAGTTGTTTCCTCTGAAGCAGGACGTTCACATTTGCCTCCACCACCATCAAGTGAGAAACAGACACTGTGTGGGCCGCCCGATACTCCCAGAATGCCCGCCCCACCCCCCCCCTCCAAGAATGGCACTGAACTATGTCCACATAAGTTATATGAAATGTAATCCTCAAGTCTTAAAACGGTTAAGTAGACTGAGCAGGTTCCCAAGAAGCAGAAAGCAGTGTTTTCCCCACTTCACAGGAAGATGGAGGCTGGAGCTGGCAAGGTGCAAACCGCGGGCGGGCCTAGGAGAGGGGAGGGCGGCCTTGGCCGGCGGCAAGGTTACCTGTGGAGCTGTTCACCATGTTGGGCGTCATGCTGTAGGGCGGCGCCTGCGTGTTCATCAGCCCCGAGCTGTTGTTCATGGGCTGGCTGTAGGGAGAGCTGGAAGCCATGAGTCCGCTCTGGTTCATGCCCGGGAAGCTGCCTTGCCTGTGAGAAGAGAAAGCACGTGCATCTGTACACTGCGCACTGGCAGCGCTTGCCCCGGTGGCCATTTCTCGGGATGCATCTATGCAAGGGGCGGGCTAGTATGGTTCACGTTTGCTTAAAATCATGTATTTTCTGGAGAGAGAGAGGCTGAACTCTATTGCTAAGTAGTTATTTAATGCACTACCTAAAATTCCAAATCATATAAACTTTACAAATAAATTCTACATTTTTAAGCTTGTCGAGATTTATATATAGGGATTAAATAAGCAAGAAAGGGGGAATGTGAAATAATAACAGGAATTACAAAAGCAAGCAAAATTAACCACCATTTTAAAAGAGCTGACTCTTTATGAACATTACTTAATATCCTCCCATCAAAAACCAGAAGTCAAGAAATGCAAAACAGATAAGCGGGGTGGGAGGGTTATTTAAAAAGAAATCCCTTGACCTAAATCTTCTGATCTACTGACTACGAGAGCGAGCACTTCCAAAATCCCTTCTACCCTCTTGTTTGACATGCTGACATTCGGGGCTGTTAAAGACACACCAGGTTCCTCTATCAGAGCCCACATGAGCGGCAGACTCCCTCGCCCCGCAGGGTTCCTGCGGCAGGAGCCCAGACTGGCTGTCAGTGTCCCTCCCAGGCTCCGGTCCTGAGGCCACCCTCCCCACGGCCGCGGATTCATGAACTTATCTTTTGGTGACTTAGTTTGGTTAGTTTTGTGTCTACACTCTGAGAGACAAACCTCTTCACTCCTGCAAAGTGCAAAGGGGTACTGTTTGGTCAAAGGAGGCGAATGTCACTTCATTCACTGCAGTTAATTGGGGGGAGGGGGCTGGTGAGGGAGAGGAGGGTTTTAGCAGCAAGATGGTTTAATTCTCCCAGGAAAATTACTGCAAAGAAGATGATGGCAATGTGGCAAAATCTTTAAAAGACTCCACATTGTAGTCAAGCTTTTCTTTATACGGTACCTTTAAAAAATTCCTAAAAAAATTTGGCCATTAATATTTACTCTTAGAAGTAAAGCTAACGGGAAAGGAAAAATCCGCTTTGCCTGTCTGTTCCAAATGAATTATGATTTCTACCCCCTCCACCTCTATTAAACCATCGTTTACTGGCTCTTAATATATAATAATAAAAATGTTTTAAAGATATCCTTTAAAAGATGAATATAAGTCATTAATGAAAAACAATGTGCTATTCTCTTAGTATAGCTATTTTCAGTCTGCACTGCCCTTTTTCAAACACAAGATGATGAATGTAGATATTACAGAGGTTTTAAAAAATACTTTTAAAATAACAAAAAATTAAAGATGTAAATGTCTGTGTTGGATGCCAGTTGCTGGAGGCCGGAAGTTTTTAAGAGTCTGGTTAAAAGACATGGGTCGTGACTCTGTCACGAGGAGACTTCCATGGTTCCCAGGATCTGGGAACAAATCGAGTCGGCTCTGGACCTCAGCTTCTACATATAAGCATGGAGGGACTGACAATGACTTTAACATGAATACTGTGTGAAGTACATGCAAATATGCATAACGTGTTTTCTAGGCACTTTACACAGTTAATTTTTTAAATTCCCGGAGGAGGGTGGGTGGAATTATGCTCACATACACAGAAGGGATCGGAGACGTTAAAAAACTTGCCTAAAGACACACAGCTAGTAAGTGGTAGAAGGAGACCTCCCCACGCCTGCTGCTGGCGGGTGGTCCACGCTGTCTCCCAAGGCCTCTGACACTGCTAACACTCATGAGACAAGTGCAATGCCACATGGCGGCCTCCTGGAGAACTTTCTATTTGTCTAGCGGACTCATCTGTGGTTGGAGAAAGCTACATCAGAATGGCGCTCTTCTCTGGGCCTCCTAGAGGCACCCTTTGGCGGGGTGGCCACCGTGGGAGGTGGTGGAGATAATCAACAGCCTGTGGACGCTGCTCCCGGGAAGGAGTCGGTCCTGTGTGCCGCAGCCTCCGGGTGTCTGGGCACAGAAGCAGCAGAAGGAAGTGCGTCTCCCCAGGAACGCAGGGCACCTGGCCGCCTGTCTCGCTGGGGGGAGAGCCAGTCTTTCGTCCCCGCGGACGGAGTCCTCCTCACTGTGGCTTTGGAAATTACTGCCGAGACTCTTGGTGATTCTGAACAAGCAGGATGGCGTACCGCTACACAAGAGCTTGCAAGGCATCCCGTCGAGCTGGGGAAACTGAGACGTGTTTTGTGCAGGAGACAAGGTGGCGGCCTCGGTGACCAGGCCGAGCTCTCCAGCTCACGGCGGAGGGGCTCACACAGAATCTCTGTGGCCACAACAAGCTTTCTTACGTGGTGGGGCTGGCCACCATCACTGGGACCCAGCAGCCTCGGAAGTCGGCCCCCTCCAGGGACAGCGCTCACCACCCCTCAGTCCTCGGCAACGTCTGGATGTCCAAACGGAGTGACGGTGAAGAAGGCACTCACCAGACACTTTCTCTTTGCAAAGGAAACAGGAGCAGGCAAAGCAAACCGAACCAGGCAAAAACACAAGCTGAGACGAGGGAAACACTCTGTCAAACCCTAACCCTGGCCTCTGGGCTCGGGAACCACTGGGCTGTTTCCAGGGCCCGATAGGAACAGACAGGTTTTGTCCCAATTGCTGCTGCCCTGATGCCACGGATCCTAACCTGCAGCGAATGCCCAAATGCCCGGGAGGGAGTTTGTTAAACGGTGAAAAATGACGTTTTGTGGTGATTATGCTGCGAAGCGGGTACTGGGCTGCGCGCTGTGGAAATGACCGCTGGGCGGTGCTCACAAACCACAGGTGCTGACCACGGGCCTGCGCTCATGGTGGCCAGGTGTCCACACAGCCAGGCACCCCCCACCTGTCCACGTCCACATGTGGCCGGGGGGGGGGGGGGTTGTCATCTGAACACGAAGACCTGCAGAAGAGCCACAAGTGCGTTTAAATCGGCTTTCGAATGGGATGAGATGCGAGGGTTGAACATCTGTTGTCCCATGACAAAACCAGGTTACTGTAACGAGTGACAAGGCAGGGGGCTGCAGGTGCACTTCCTGGAAGCGCCCCTCGTCCTGCTCCTAGCCCACGCGCACGAGTAATCTTTATAGGTTCTCCCTCAGTCCCTTTGGAGAGTTCTCAAACATCAAACGTTCATCTGCCAACAAAGGCCTGGTTTGGGGAAAAGCCAGAGGCAAACACGTTTTAAAGAGACCGTTGCCAGCGTCCACTCGGAAGGCGGAATATTGCTTCCCACTAGAGCTCGAATCTGGCAGCTAAAAACATTAAGTGAAACCCATCTAAATATCTTGTTTGTTTTTTAAAAATATATTTTTATTGATTTCAGAGAGGAAGGGAGAGGGAGAGAGAGATAGAAACATCAATGATGAGAATCATTAATCGGCTGCCTCCTGCAGGCCCCTACTGGGGATGGAGCCCACAAACCAGGCATGTGCCCTTGACTGGAATCGAACCCAGGACCCTTCATTCCACAGGCCGATGCTCTATCCACTGAGCCAAACCAGCCAGGCTAAATATCTTGTTTTTAAGTCACTTACAATAACATGTAAACTAAACAGGCTGCACACGATTGTGGTGCATCCAAGGAAGTGTGCAGGCCACATCATCGCAGCATCACCATTGCTCCCCAGCGGTGACACAGGGAAGTGGACTCTCCTGGAAGTGACCAGATTCTGACAAAGCCCCTTGGAGGAGAGCAGGGACAGACAGAAGTGCTTTGGAAACAAACACTACAGGAGTGAAGCCACTTTATTTAAATCCAGAGGCAAAGACACACGGAGAGGGGTCTCACTCTGAAGCGTTTTAGCATATCCATGACTCGAGGGTTGTTCCAAATGAACAGCGAGCAGCGCCTGGTCAGTCAGAGAGGCGTGACCACCGACATCCGCTGCTGGCCATGCGACTGTCCCTCGCGATGCAGTGTGAGCTCTGGAGCAGGAGAGGAATGAGCCAGGCAAACACTGCCATGGGGCCCTCCTTCACTCAAACCTAAGGGCCACCAGACCAGGGAGGTGCAATGTGGAAAGTCCACTCCAGCCGCGTGTTCGTGGAGACAGCCGAGTGTCCACGCACATCACACAGGCCCTGCCTCACATCTTCTATCAACACAAGCCATGTTCCCCTGAGTCCGCTCCACTGGCCAAACAGACTTTCCATCACGCCACACCGTGCCTCTTCCTAAATGGTACTTGGACACCTTCAGTTGAGGTTATTTTTAATCGAATATCTGAAAAGGGAAAACCACTCCCTAAGTCTCTAAAACTACAGTCAGACAGAGAAGAAGCTGCCCCAGCGGCCCACTCTCCGTGCGGCTGACCCAGCAGCACTCTGTGAACAAAGGCACTCGAGGCTCTGGTGGCAAAGCAATCGCGTCACCTCCAGTGCTGGCGAGGAATCCATCCCGAGGCACAGTGCTTCCTGTCACTAAACCAAAGACCAAGAACAGGATGCCTGTGATTCCCGACTGTAGAGTCCTGTGAAAATACACAGCCCGTGCTATTTAAAACACCATTACACCCTTCCCTCAGGGAGACGTGCTGGGAATAACTAGATCCATCAGCAACACCTCCTATCGAGCTGATAGTCCCCATCATTTGTTCAAGATGGGTGTTTAGGACAGCGGTGGGAGGGAGGGCAAGGGGCACAGTAGTCGCCCAAACAAACAAACAACAAGCACAGGAGCTACCGGGAGCAGTGAGCGCCAAGGGCCCCGGCTGTGGGGAAGGGCCTTGCAGGTGCTAGGGAAGTTCCCTGAGGAAGGCATGCGTCCTCCCCTCCACGAGATCTGAGGGATCCACCCAGGGGCCCGAGGGGAGCCCATAGGTGGGAGGACAGGAGGGCCTTTCTGCCTCAGGGAGGGACAGCTGGTGGTGGTGGTGGGGAGGGACTATAAGACATGAGAGCAGAGGGCGGGGAGGGCCACATCATTCAAGGCCGGGGTTCTGTAAGGTTTGGTCTGCACCCTGAGCGACTAGAAGGAATGTGCATTTCAAAGGCATTGTTTGCTCTCTGACTGGATGGGAGGACGCTGGGCGGGAAGAGGGGATGTAGGGCTGACGGACTGTGTGGCTCTGACAGTCTAGGTAGGAGAGGATGGTGCTGGGGACCCAGGAGTGGGACAGGGAAGAGCTACGTGAGATCGGGAGGTGACAGGACTGGGTGATGAATGACCAGAGGGCACCACCGTGTCCCCTGGGTGGCGGCATGCACAGAGGCTGGGTGGAGGGCGTCACGGACTGCTGACAGGCTCGGAGACCACAAGTCTGGCTCGGGCACGGCGCTTCTGAGCTCCCAGAGGCAACGCCGGGAGACGATGGAAACGCCAGCCTGGAAAGTGGGGTCCTCTCGTTCCTCTTCGCCGCCTTGCGGGGAATGCCCTCCAGCACTTCGAGTCTTTCTCTAAGATCCTCCCTGGCTGTGAACGTGACCTCCTCTCCAGACAGCCTGTTCCCTGATGGAAACTGATGGGTGCGATGCCAGCAACAAAGCCACAGCCATTAGTCGTTTTCCAGCTGTGAATTAGTAACCCCCGGCCCTTTGGTAATAGACTGTACATTTAAGTTTCCTTTTCCCCTTTGAGCATGGGCGAAGGGAATGCTATTTAACAGCTCCCTGACAAAGACCGTCCAGGGGACGGCAGTGTACCCTCCAGCATGTTCTCCACATCCGTCTCTAGCGAACGATGGGCAGTCACTCTGAGCAGAACATCTCCTGGCCCCTTTGCCACAGGCCTCTGTAAGGTGGCGGTGCCCACAGCCTCTGTGTCTGAAGCTTTCACGCTGGCTGTTTCCATTCTTGCCCCTGTACCTGCTGACCTAACGCCACCAGGCATGGAGGAAGCTGCATATGCCCCCTGGGGTTCCCAGAAGCTGTGACTACGGGAACATCTCCCCCTTTTCGTTAACTCCTTCATGCAGGCTTCTCACAGGTCCCCTGTTCTCAGCTCTGCTACAGCGGCACCTGCTGTCAGATTCCAAGATCCAGCACTTCCTTCACCTCCACGCAGGGAACGTGCGAGTCGTCCCTAAAGTAAGGACTGACCCCTCTCAGCAACCAGAACAAACAGCCCATGAAGCAGAGGCTCAGGGTGCGAGGAGAATGCAAAAGCCTCTGGCCTTGAATTTTGGTAACTGATAACTAAGACGTCCCCTCATCCCACCCGACAAGGACGGCCTCGAGGGGTGCACCTCAGGGACAGGAGCAGGTGGGCCTGGAACCCGGAGGGGCTCGGCAGCCCCGGCGGTGAGCTCCCCTGAGCGATGCTTGAGGGCTGGGCTAACCAGGTGCAGCCTTCCTGCACCTTGAATGGACCAGTCTGTTGGCTGGAAGCAAAGAATGTGGGCCTGGGCTCTCCAGCTCATGGATTCTGCCACAGCAACATTTTGTAAAACCCTCTAAAAAGAATGTCCAGGGCTATCGTGTTGGGAAATATATAAATACAGTCATTTCTAACTTAAAACACCTCCTAAAATTCTATAGATTTCCAGAACGAAATGTGGCCTTGAACAACAGTTACTCAGTTTAAGCAAAAACACGATTTAAAATTGGGTAAAAATGTTGCAGAAAAGGCCTGAAAGCCGAAAAGAAAAAGTTCTTCCAGGCACCCCGCCCTGAGAAAGGAGGGTCCCAGTCAAAGGCAGCCAGACACAGCTCACTTTCAAAGCAAGAACAACGCTGCAGCCAGGCTGTGCGGCACTGTTTCTCGTTACTTCAAGAGATTACATTAACTAGAAAAGCTTTAAAACTGCATTTTCGGAGTAAAAAGTCTATCAGTGTGTGTGTGTGTTGGGGGGGGGGGGGGGGGGAGGGGAAGTCCTGAACAGATATGAATTGTTAATTTCAAATACTGGATACTATTACTCAGCTTCTTTAGTACCTGAACAGTGCGATTCACCACATTCTACTGCGAATCCTCTCAAAATCAAAATGAGGGATTTCTTTGCTCAAAAGGGGAAACATAATAAACAACTCATCTACAGAATCCTCGACTTACTCCACGTGGCACGTGTCGTACCTGGCACTGCCTTTTAAAGAAGGAACAGCTCCCCGAGTGTTCTCTCCACGGCCCCACGCACCCGCCACACCCTCATCTTACAGGAGCGCCCCTCTCCTCACTGCCACTCCCTCACTGCGCGCCTTCGCCATCCAGTCCTTTCTCAGCCTCTCTCCTGGCTCCATCCCCTGGGGATTCTGACTTGAGAAAGAGTCACCATAAGGAATTGGGAACCCTGCTTCCTCTCCCAGAGAGAGAGAGTGATACATGAGAACTGGCTCTTCAAACTGCCCGCTGAACTTGAACCTGACAGCTGTCAATGTGGAAACAAAGACAAAAGCACAAACAGGAGTTTGCTGCAATGAGCTGTTAGGTAACGCAAAAGCGTGTGAAAACCAAACTCCTGAACCCGCAGCTCTCAAACACGCACCACACGTTTTCTCACAGCCAAGTTCTGCTTACAAAAAAAAAGCACAACAGGTTTTGTTTATTGCAAAGTGCAAAGGAAGGATGATTTAAAATAGAAATAAAACACGGTGTCTTTCTTCTGTGGAAAGAATACTGTAGACATGAAATACAAAATTCAGAGCTAACGGGGCGGGGCTGCGGAGCCGCGCCTGTGCCAAGCCTCTAGCAGACCCACGCGGAAACCCGACATCTCCCTTTCCCTGGTTTCAAATGAGGAGGAGGTGCTGTGTTCTAGGACGCTCTCCGGACGTTGCTGGCTGGAGCGCAGACCCGAGCTCCGCGTGCTGGTTAGCTAACATTGATTTTCTGCCCCAGTGGAGGAGATTGCACTCTGATGCATGCCATTTAAATTCATTTTACACAGCTGCTTAATGTGGCTTGGCAAGGCACAGGCGAGCGAGCTGCGTGGGGCCAGATAGGACTCCCGAGGTGGGAAGGACAGATCCTACGGATTAGCAGCTGATGCAAATGCTCTTCTCTCCCCATGGCCACCTTCCCACGGGCTCAAGCAGTGACCTTGAAGGTGCCACAAGGAAGGAAAAGAGGAAAAGACAATTTCCCCAAAATGTGTGTTCACCCAGTCCTCTACCTGGTACTGCATTTTTAGGATCATGTTTATAGGATTTTCTATTTGTTGGTCCACATTTAGGACCATGTTGACAGGATTTAGAACTCTCAATTGCAAACTTACCATTTGCTCTCACTGTCGAAATAAATGTATCCTGAATATAAAGACTATTAAAAAGCTCTCCATCGCCCGTTCATAACTAGTGAAACCATATTGCATGAATTTAGTCCTTAAACAAAGCTAGCTGACCGTTTCCTACTTTAACCAAAAATGTGGTATGTTTCTATAGAAACTATCTAGTGCACATATTCAATCTATGAAGGATAATCTTACATTACTATACAAAAAATGTCGATCATAATTTTTGCTTTGTAAGTTACTCAGTAATAACATACTTTAAAAGCATTCCCTAACCTAAGATAGTGTAGCCTGATATTACTTCTCTAGTAGGAAAGAGACCCTTTTTGTTGCTGTCTGTAATTCCTGTGTTGTAATTGATAATACGGCCACACCGTGTTCTGAGAGAAAATTCTGTTTAGGATTATCTGGTTGTATTTTCCCAGGGAATCTCTGGCCAAAGGTGGCCACTGCACCTGGAATTGATGGTGTGCAGGAGCAGGTTGGTGAGTGACAGTGACAGTAACACCGTCATGATAACACAACACAAGTACCTGACAACACACGACAACAGTGGGGGAATGACACTAGAGCAGGTCATCTCATTACTTTTCCACAGAGAAAATGTAGATTCGTCTCAGGCATGAGGGAAGAAGCCATGCCGATAGCCATGCAGACAGATCAGGGACAGCATGCAGGTTGCTACCCAACCAGCACAACGCTGGTGATGAAAACAGAACAAAACAAAACAAACAGAAAGAAACAAAAAGACAACCCCTCTGAGATGGATTTCCTTCGAGGTCTTTCACTTTGTTTTGGGTGTTACTTCTGCAGCCAGATGGCACGTTCATTAACAGTTTAAAATCGCCCAGGGCCCCAGCGAGTCAGGGTCTGTTGCTACCTACCCGTACTGGTCAGGCTGGTGCATCATGGGAGCCTGAGAGTTGCCATAGTTGGGGTGCTGGGAAGAAAACAGGGGGCGTCCGCCAGCCCCAGACTGGCTGGGATAAGCAGGCGACCTAATGTATGGTGGCCTAAAGCAGAACAGAAGAACAACTTCTTTGGATTTGTTCTGTCGACAGTATGAACACCCCTGTCCACCTGTCACTTCCACACACAGGTGTGGAGGGTCACAGATATGGTGTAATACTCTGTACCATGCAGCTGCCTGCAGTGGAACGAGGTACTTTCCTTAAAAGGGGTTGGGGGTGGGGGTGGGCAGGACGAAGGAGAGAACAGAGTAAGATTTTCAGATCTCATCTCAGTTCAGTTCTGAAGTACAGCTTTGACTTTAGTCAAAAATACAGTCCATTTAAACTCCCGGAGGCTCACTTGGGCGGCGCCTGCAGGCAGGCGGTGGAATGGTCTCCCGATTGCAAATGGAAGGAAAATGCATGGATGACAGTGATTCCTGCCTTTCTGCAAAGTGACAGATGAACTGACACCGAGGGAGCACGGCAGGAGTTCCTAATCAGCATCTCTACGGTCATCTCCTTCCCAGATCACTAGCCAAGGCCTCAAATCAAATTCAATCAAGTGCTTTCTACTCAAATACCAGTCAAACCAGTCCTCACAGACAGGTTCATTAAAACATCCCCTGAATCTGCACAGGTTCGGGTTAGAGGTACACTGCTGGCATACAGGAAGTTCTAATTGTAATGGGGATGAGAAAGAGATGGAGAGATGGGGAGGAAAGAGGGGAGAGAGAAGGAGAGATGGAGAGAGAATGAGTGGTTTTCATTTTGATTCCTCAAGGGAAATTTTTCATTATTTGGAGGAAACAGTGAGATTGGAGGGGTCCCTAACATTCCCAAATAGCAGCTTCAGAGGGAAGGTAACAAAGGGACACATTTACATACACACACACACACACACACACACACACACGCGCGCACACACATGCACACATGCACGCTTTTATCTCCCTTTGGAAAAAAAATCAGAACCTTCTATCATTTCTTCAAGGTACCCTATTTTCATACATATCCTTCAATCTGCTTTTTTAAAATTAATTAAAAATATTTTTATTGATTTCAAAGAGGAAGGGAGAAGGAGAGATAGAAACATCAATGATAAGAGAGAATCATTGATCGGCTGCCTCATGCACACCTCCTATTGGGGATCCAGCCTGCAACCCAGGCATGTGCCCTTACCGGGAATCGAACCATGACCTCATGGTTCATAGGTCGATGCTCAACCACTGAGCCACTCCAGCTGGGCTCAATTTGCTTGTTTTAAATGCATTTTAGTATAAGTTAAACATAAAACATATATACAGGTGCTTCTCTGAAAACATTCACTCTGGCCTCCGAATTTTTAAATTCAATGTTACTTTTATACAGGCCAAGTATTTACTTTAAGAATTAATTTTAAAATCAGGATTGAAATCAAATAATTGAGGATAAAATCCTCCTGGATCAAATTAAACTTCCTGAAATATTATCTTTGCATTAACCTCATTTTGGTTTGGACAGACAGGTGTGCCCAGAAAAATAAAAGATAAGAATATGAAGGATGAATCTCACACATACACACTTAGACAAACACACACAATACACATATGTGTACAAAGTTTCTTTGCCATAAACATTTTATGGTGGGGGGACAAACGGGGGACGTTCTTTTTCAATGTTGTAGATTTTAACTGGTTTACAGGCTTGAGGTTTTCTGCGCAAACCTGGCTATGTTAAAGGGAACCCCAGCCACGCCTATGCCTGGGCTCTGAGGGGCTGCTCAGTGACCATTCACAGCCATTTCAAATAACGCCCCACAACCGACTTGCCCACCACTCAGATTCCTTCTTTGGTGCCTCAGAGAACTGGCCTGTCATTTGTTTTTCTGAGCCTCCCAGCCAAGCAAAACGACTTGCTACTGCTCTGCCCCCATGTGACCCGGGGACCACGCGGTGCCCAGCCCCGTTCACGCACACACCAGACCGCCGCCCCAATGGCATACCTGCTTTGTGCTGAGTTGGCAGCGGCCTGCATCACTGCGGCGGCTGCCTCCTGTGCCTTACGGTTCACGGTTGGCATTGGCGGCCCCATTCCTGGCCCGCCCTGCTGAGACATGCCAGGAGAGCTGGGGGTCATGCTGCTCATGTTTCCAGGAAACGGTCTGTTCTGCATCCCGGCTGATGGCATTCGTCCCAGGGGCATAGCACCACACGGCTGGCCTGGCCCTGGCCCGTGCATCTGGTTGTTGGCATTGATGCCCACACCAGGCCCCGGGCCACTGTAGCTTGCACTGGGCACCCCACTATACGTTGGGGGTCTGGAGTAGTTACCTAAACAAAAAGCAAGCAAACACAAATTAGGGCCTTTTACTTACTATCTGGACTTGTGAAACATTCACTGGAAACTTTCCGTCCAACACCGTGATCAACACAGAACATTAGTCATTCCTATTAACCCTTCCCTGTGGGCGCTGCGAGGCGGGCAGCCTCAAACACGCTCTTTCTGCACATTCCAGAGGCAGGAGCCACCCAGGACAGCGCGACATGGAGGGCAAATCCAGGCTAATCATTAACTCATCCATGAACAGGCCAGGGATGCTGGCGCCAAGGCTGCTCCGTCCCCCACACCTCCCATTCCTGCCCTTCAACCCAGGCCATTGCTCCGGCCCCTCTGCCGGCAGTGGACTGTGGGGCCACACCCAGTTCCGATGGAGGGTTCCGGACGGCGTGGAAGACAGGCGCACAGATGGCCAAGCCCAGCCTCCGAAGCACCCCAGGGGAAGGGGGGGAGGCACGCGGAACCTCGCCATGAGTCCAGCACCGTCCATTTTCCTCGGGTGCCAGGAACACTTTTTTTTGGCTTGAGCACCAGGTAGAGTGGCTGGTTTGTGCTTGGTGCCAGGTTTTATGAAATACAGTTTCAAGCAGTGGCATGACACTCCACACAGTGAGGTGGTGGCACCTGGGAGCAGCAGGGCCTGAGATGAGGAGCTCCGACCACCCCCACCCCACCCCGCTCACACTGGGCACAGGCGCCTTGGGGAGAGTTGTAGCTGCCATGGCCTGGGCTCCATGTCAATGGTTTTGCTTCCTTTCTCCTCTATGCCTTTTTTTTGATTGAATATACATACACTAAACCCAACTCAATTAAAGGCACATCTACCGCCACCCCAGCAGTAACACCTGCTGAACCACAGTGCGAACAAGACACTGGCAAGGCTTTGCGTCGACGACTTCCTTCATTTCTCTGACAACCATGTGGAATACAGACACGACCACGATTCCATTGATAACTGAGGAAAACCGACAGCTAGTAGCTTAGGATTCAAGTCCAAGCAAACTGACTCTGGAACCCATGCAATTAACCAATAAAATACGCTGCCTCCCAATAAGTGACTGTTGAAATACAACACACGTGGAAAGACTAGTGCATAATCAAGAACTAGTGTTCCACTACTTTCTGGAAGTATCGTCTCACCCATACAACATATGTGTTCTAGGCACAGGGGATACTGAGTTAAATACAACCCAATTCCTGCACCCAGGCAGCTCACAATCTAAGCATGTGTATGTGTGTGCGTGCATGTGTGTGTGTGTGTGTGTGCGTGTGTGTGTGAGATGGAGTAGCAAGGGAAAGGAAAAATAACACACAAAAGCAAAACAAAAAGTCAGTGCACAGTGAGAAGCAGAGAGCCTAGAGCAGCGGTTCTCAACCTGTGGGTCACGACCCCTTTGGGAGGTCGAACGACCCTTTCACAGGGGTCGCCTAAGACCACCAGAAAACATATATATAATTACATATTGTTTTTGTGATTAATCACTATGCTTTATGTTCAATTTGTAACAATGAAATTACATCCTGCATATCAGATATTTACATTACGATTCATAACAGTAGCAAAATGACAGTTATGAAGTAGCAACGAAAATAATTTTATGGTTGGGGGTCACCACAACATGAGGAACTGTATTAAAGGGTCGCGGCATTAGGAAGGTTGAGAACCACCGGCCTAGAGGAAGGGTGCTTGGGGACACAAGATGCTCCAAGACAGTGGGGCTAGTGAGGCCTCCTTGAGTGAAGGGCTGTTGGCGGGGCCTGCATCAGGAGCCCGCGTGGAGGCTCTGGGATGGGTTAGCTGGCGGGGCCTGCATCAGGAGCCCGTGTGGGAGGCTCTGGGATGGGGCGAGCTGGAGTGCGTGAGGCTCTGCATTGCTGACGGTGTGGCCTAAGGTCCGCTGTCTTTATTGTTTCACTCTCCTCTCTGTAAAACAAAGACACGCCTCTCTAACACCGACTGCGTGAAGAGTTGTTGGGGCTCTATGACATACGGTAGGGGTTTAATATGGCAGAGGAGGGGAGAGGGCATGGATGGAAGAGGCCACAAACAACAGGCCAGAGAGTCACTGGGAGGAGGCGGCGCCGGGGGAGAGGCCACCTGCGCAGGCCTTGTCCCGCTGCCAGGCCTGGGCGTCATTCTGAGATGAGGAGCTTCTCTAGGTTTTGCGGCAGAAACTGGATTTGATTAGGAACAATAAGAGCAGATACCTGATATTTACTATGTGCCAAACGCAGCCCCAAGTTCTCTGCATAACTCACTTAATCCTCCCATCAAGTAGGAGGGGTTCCTATGACTACACCCTGCACTCCAGGGATGGGGCGCCCGAGGCGCAGGGCGTTCCAGCTGGTCCGGGGCCACGTGGCTGGTGGGTGCAGGAGCCGGGCTGGCACCAGGCAGCCTGTGAGTACAGCTCAGAGCCCAGGCATGCGCAGTGCAGCTGCTCAGGTGCGGAAGGAAAAACTACACTGATGTAACAGTATCTTCACAATCACGAAACCAAGTGTTCTCAGGTCCACACTAGGAAGCTGCATCCCCCTGAAAATCTGCAAGAAATTCAGACTTCCCAACACCGCCGGCTGCTTGCTCTCTGCCAGGTGCATCAGCATCAGTGCACTTTATTCGGTTGTCTGTTGCGTGCCTGACTCATGGCAGATGGTGCGAAGGTCACTGTCCACACAGACCACGGCCAGCACTCTCACTGTAAAGGGCTGGATAGGCTTTGTGGGCCAGGCTGTCTCTGTCACAACTAAGCTGCCACAGACGATGCATACACAACTGGGCATGCCTGTGTTCCAATAAAACTTTATTCACAAATACAGGCAGCGGGCCAAAGCGGGCCATACTCTGCTGCCGGCTGCTGTAGACCAATCCTGGGCCAGGCTAGCAAAGGGCCCCGCAGCACAGACAGCGACCTGCTAAAGCGCCTCCTGACCCTGACCATCCTCTGGAAGGCTGACGAGGAGTAGTGAGGCACCGGCAATGTCGGCAGCGGACAGTGAGAGGGGCCAGAAGGAACAGAACAGGCTGACACGAACCCCTCAGCGGCCACCAGGGGCACGAGCCAGTCTCTCCTGGCCAGCTCCTCCAATTCAGCTGCCTTTTCATGAGGAAACTACTCTGCCTTTACAGAAACAATCAAGCTTACACTGTTTCAAGGAAAAGTAAAAAACATTCACTGCTCATCAATTTCCACCATCTTTATAAAAAGCTCTTGAGTTGCTGCTGAATCTCCCACCCCACAGGACCACACAGAAGGTCTGTCTCCCGTCACCACCTCGGCGGGAAGGGCACCTTCTGCTCACCACCCTGGCGGGAGGGACGCAGAGCCGTGGGCGCGCTGCAGCCACCTGCCTGGTCCCCTGCATCCCCAACGCCCCAGCAGCCGAACTTTCCCGTGAGCAGACAAGACTGCTCCCCTCCTGACCTCACATGCCTGGCTCCCACAGGATGTGACGACGTCAGTGATATCCAGGGCTCCTTTCTGGCTCTCACTTTATTAAAAATAAGGAAACTCATTCACAGTTTGGATGCAAATGAAATTAATTCAAATTTTCATGCTCTTTCTCTAGCTCGTTTCCACCCTCCCCCAGCACGCATTTGGTGACTCATTTGGTAAGAAACTTTATGCAGTGAAAACATATGTCCTCTTTGCTTTCGAAGGAAATGAAATGACACTTCACTCCTTTCGGAAAACAGATGTTTCGACGTGGTTATGGCAGATGAGGCCCCTGGCAGTTTCATCAGGGAAGGAGGCTCTGATTTTGCTGGCCTTGCTCACAGCTGGACCTGACAGGTGCGCCACTTGGCTTCGCACCTGGGTTTAGCGGGCAGCTGAGCTGTACCTGAATGAGCACAGGAGCAATGACCGAGAGGCTGTCACCTGCAGCTTGCTTCCAACCTTCCCGGTCAGGTATGCACTAGCGAGGAGCTGCGTTTCAGGGCTTTGCTCAACTCAGCAGCTGGACTTTGTCTCAGAGCCGGAAGCGCTCTGGACTCAGTGGTCACTCATTAGAGCACAGCCGCTGTGCCTGGAACACGTACACACAGGTACTCAGAAAGCCACCGAATGTGGCACACGGCAATTCACATGTCAGTTCCCATGTCCTAGTCACAGAGGCCGCGATCTGGTGGAAGAAATGCAGAGTCCCCCTTTCTTCTTCTGGAGGCTGTGGCTGTCCTGCTGCCCACAGGAAAATGGCTTCTAACGGCTTCGACGGCTTAGGGCAGCAGTGACTACAGCACGGGCTCTAAAATCCGGGCTTGGATGTCAGTCTGATGCTTCCTAGCGGCATAACTTGGACAAGTTACTCAATCTTTTGGACATCAGTCTGGACGTCTGTACGTCATGCTGGTAATGGGGCACAGGCAGAAACCGACCGGTCCAGTGCTGGGCAGTCACCTCTGAATGGTAGGAACTCTTACCACCAACAATTGTCATCAATAACCATTAACAGGATTTTCCCCATAATCTTTTTAAAACGTGTGGGAAGGAGTGAAAAATGACTCATGTCCCAGACTCTCTGCCTACTTGATAGCATATCCACCCCCCCCCCCCCCCCCCCACCAATAAACAAAAAGCAAACATGTGAGCCAAGCAGCACAGGAGAGGCCAAGCCAGGACGAGCGTGCGCTCTGATTTCATGTTTCTCTAATAGATTAGTGATTCGCTGGCACTGGCTCTGACAGAAAGCAGATGGAGGCAGCAGGCAGCACAATGCGGCAGCAGATGCGGGGCCACCCACCTCAGCTGGACGGCCTTGCAGCCAAGACCAAGAGCCCACAGTTTTCAAGTGGGTTCATCTTGGCACACCAGCTTCGGGAAATTGGTCACCAAGCGAATTCAGACTCCAACCCACCGGGAGTGAGGCTCGAGCAGCAGACAGAGGAAGCAGGAGCTAGACTCCATTCCAGTCACCATCGTTACTTCAGGAGGGTCACAGAGAAGTCTCCACCTGCCCCCAGCGTGGTTGCATTTGCTGGTTACCACCCACA